TGATATTCATATAATCATTATTGCCTATTTTTCATTGTTTGAAATGCCTTTTTTCTAAATAGGGGCATAAACATTAAATTTTATCAAGTAAAATTATTGTTTTTAATTTTCCCTTTTCATCTCTAATATCAAGCACATGTTACGCCATTTCTCTCTCTGTGTTTATTATCATGATCTGTTATTTTGCATTGTGTATTATAACGTGATTGACGGTTTGAGTAATTAGAACCACTCAAAACCAAAATTTTCGGGGGAAAAAAAGAATTAACGGTAGCTGGACAATAAAAAATCACTTTAAATGTTGTCACTTCCAGACCTTCTAGCTCGCCATTCAAATAATACCCAAAAAAATTTGTTGACGGTATGGTAATCTCCTTATATCTCTGCGATACTCCTAATATTCAAATAATGTTCAAATTGAGTTGCTTTTTCTAAAGAGTATGTTATAAAAGATCTCTCATATTTCACTTTAAGTTCTTAATTGAAATTTTTGTTTATTTGGCATAAAATAAAATTATCAAATGGATCTGCCTCACAAAATTCCATATTTCTTGACCATATTAGTGTTATATTAGATTATATATGAACACTAATTTTCATAAATTTTCAGAAAAAGTTGAATCAACATTCCATCAGGCATAAATGTGGCCATGTACGTGTTCTTTACGCCTTTTATTGTTCTTTTGATTCATTTTTATTTCATCAATCAATCACAAAGTCAAGTCTTCTCTCCCGTTTGTTACGCTAATGGAAAAACAATCCTATAATTGAAAACTTTTGTAGGGCATTGATTATACTGATATAACCATTATTCCTACATTCTTATTGTTTCAAATGTTTTATAATAAAAATGAAGGCATAAAAATTCATTTTTATCAAATAAAATGATTTTTCCCCTTTCATCTCTAATTTAGTCGAGTACTCTTACGAACAGTTTAATGTATACGGTTTCATGTGTAGCTTATATATTTGTATGATTTTATTGTATATAATACTCCTTTTTTTCTTATTTATAAGGTATAGAGAAAATTCTTATTTGATCTCATTTATAAGATGTATTATTAAATTTTTCATATGAATACATAATTTTTTTTGCAAACAATTTATTTTATTTGCCATTTATTATTGTGTAGATTTTATTCTCATATGGTATAATGTATATAAAATAAGGACAAAATAAAAAATTTATTAAATTTTAAGATAAAGTTAATATTATTCTAGTTTTTTAATATAAGAGCTGGATAACTAATTTATAAATATTAAAATATTAGTTGAGTTAATTATTTGTAATCATATATTGTCTTGCCTAAATACTCTAGTTAATCACGTGCATTAGAGTCGCTCCATCTTGAAACCTTTAATATGTGCAATCACAGTAAGAATTACTTTGAAGAAAAAAGGATAAATATGATAAACAAAAAAGATTGTGATCTTATGTTTATGATCAAATTGAATCTACAATTAGTTTTTATATCAAAATTGGAAGGTAGTAATGTTTAAGGTTTTTTCCTTCTATCTCAATGAAACATGTTAAATATGATTATAAATAAGATCAGAGAGTATATATCTCATAATGAACTTCAAAATAAATTGAGCTTCAAAATTTTGACCTCTTAATAAAAAATATTTCGAATTTAAGGTTTAATAGGAAACTAAGTACATGATTCATGTGACGTAACGTGTTTATACTTACACGTGCAAATATCAATTTATGAATTTTTGAGACAAATTGTTCAATTGTAGTTTTGGATTTGTGAAGTCTCCAAATTTTGTCGGCCTCACCAGTTCCCAATGGAATCTCAGAAATTCACGACTTGACACGCTTACAATGGACATTGACCCGTAAACTGTGGTGGACAAACGTGTTATTTGAAAAAAAAATTGTTTCTCGATAATTTCTTTAAATTTATGTTTTCGCCTCCCTTTGTTTCTTCAAACAGAATTTGGGTCTTTCGTACCACAATACAATACATTGTTGTATGTAAATAACTAAAATGTAACTGTATAAGGAGTTAAAATGGGTCAAGAAGATAATTTAATATTTCATTTTCTAAGAATTTATTTGGCTCTGCATTAATTTTCTTTGTTTCATTTTCATTTCAATCATAATTAATTGGCAAAGGCAAGTCTTCCGCCCCATTTGGTACGCTAATGGAAGACTAATCGGTAAATGAGAACTTTGTATTGGGTTTATTAGAGTGATATAGGGGGTGTTTGGAAAACCCAAAACCATGGTTTCAGAAGCACTTTTCCGCAAAACGAGGTAATCTCCTTCACATATTTACTTCGTAATCCGTAAAAGCACTTCTGAAACCATGGTTTGGTTTCTATCCAAACATAATCATTATTCCCCATTTCTCATTGCTTCAAATATTTTTTTCTTCATAAATAGGGGCATAAACATTAAATCTTATCAAGTAGAATTATTTCTTTTTTTAATTTCCCCCCATCATTTCTAATATCAAATACATCTATAATTTCTTTGTAAAATTGGGTCAAAGCCTCCAGTTGAATGAAAGTCCCGATATTTTGTATGTACAGAATTTGCAAAGTAAAAAATATCAGTACTTTTTGTCTATAAAAATTTATTACGTTTTTCACACAAATAGAATGTTAAATGGAGGGTTTCTTTACTAATTTTCTCATACTTGTACAGGAATTATTTTGTAATGTGTATTGTGAGGTATATTCAGAGGGAGGGGAAAAGTCTTACTTTCTCTATCCCCATATGGATAGCAAGAAATTTAACAATTTATTTGTTAACAATTTACTTGGCTGTGGGTTTTCTTTGATTATTTTTCATTTCAATCACATCGCAAAAGACAAGTCTTCTTTACTCCAAAAAAAGCCAGTCTTCTTCCCCGTTTGGTACGTTTATGGAAAAATAATCCGTAACTGAAAACTTTTTAGGGCACATATTTGTTATATATATTATATTGATATAATAATTATTCCCTATTTTTCATTGTTTCAAATGATTTTTTCTAAATAGGGGTATAAGAATTAAATTTTATCGAAGAAAATTATTTTTTCATTTTCTCTTTTAATTTATAATATCAAACATATGACATACTATTTCTGTGTGTGTATACTTAAAATCAAAATTTTGGGACAAAAATGAATTAATGGCAGCTGGACAATGAAGGACAATTTTGAAGTTTCTCACTTCCAAAACTTTTAGCACGCCATTCAAATAAAGCCGAAGATAATTTGACAAAAAAATAATGCCAAATTTTTTTTTTGATAATACGGTAATCTTTTATATTTCTCCCACCCTCCTTGTATTCAAATACTACTTCTGATTCTTAATATAAGATCTAATTAACTTGTTTGAAGAGATCAAGAAAGTTAATAAATCACCTTAATATATTTATATTTATCTTGTTACTTTTATAAATTAATATATAATCTAATAATATACATAAGTATTTTAGAGAGATTATGTAACATGTAATTATGTAACTGGGTCTTATGTTAAGAATCATGATAGTAATTTTGAAATTTAATTACTTTTTTCAAAAGAGTATGTTATAAGGTCTCTCATATTTCACTTTGTTCAAGTTATTAATTGAAACTGCTTTTGATTTTAGCATAAAATATAATTATCAAATTGAAAATTGACCGACCTCACAAAATTCCATATTTCTTGACTATATTAGTAATTATTAAATTAGATATGAACACTAATTTTCAAAACTTTTCACCACAAATTTTTGGAAAATTTTAATCAACGTTCGTTCAATCAAGCACGTTCGACGTGTTGCCAGGACCATTTGTTTAGTCAAGTGAATATTTGAATTAATTTATTTTAAGTGATTTTATATTTTCAAAATAAGTATATGAGAGGAATATGCTGTTGTAAAATGTAAAATAGATTTTTTTAGTTAATTCTCTTAATAAGTCTTTCTCCTTTTTTTTCCAAGGAAACATAACTTTTTTTTTTGGTAGCCTCTACCCCTCTCTCGATATGTATGATATAATGAACTTATTTTTATTTTCCTTAATTATAAAAATTTCTATGCCGCTTAAAAGATATACGTAATGCGCAAGCCTTCCGTAAAATTAAAATTGGGTTGCACAAATTTTTCTTTTATTTTTAATACTCCTCCAGTCTTTAATATGGGACCCAATTGTTAAGTTGGTTTTGATCCTAAATATAAAACTCATTTATCATATTTATCAATTTTCTCTAAATTACCCCTATGGATACTCCCTTAATCATAATCAAGTAGAAGAGGGAGATGGGGTATTAAGAAAGATGATTATGATGTTTTAGAAAAAATATGTCACATTTCTTATAGTTAACTAACTTACCTAACTTCTTTAATCTAATCAAATTAGTTAAATGGGTTTTAGATTAAGGATCGGGGATATTTCATTTTCTTCTACCATGACAGTACTATTAACTATTAGTCATTATATAAAATAGTTTAATTATTTTGCAAAAATAATTTTTTTAATAACTTGCTAGTATACAGGCCCTTGCCTTGGGAATATTATTCTATATTAAAGCTATAATACAAAGAAATATTATATCATGAGTAAGGGCTACAGTGATGTTATCAGCAAATCTGTTTGTCATGGCCAACATGTCAGTGAATGTATTATGCGTCAAATAATAGAAATCAAAACCTTGACTTATAATTATGTTACGGTAGGGAAAACAAGGCTTGTAATTCTATTTACAATTAGGAAGTACAAGAATTAAATACACAGTGCACTAAAATTAATTTGTATTCATAAGCCCATGATTTATATACTGAAGCCAACCAGTTTTTAATGGCGACAATAATTCATGTTAGTTTTTTTTTTAATCAATTCTGATGATGCTTTAGTTCCCCATCAAATTCTTCAATCCAAGTTGGGAGAAGAAAGTGACTTGAGCCAGCGATTATTATGACAAACCTTTTATCAAGCGTAGCTCTGCCTATAAAAGAAGCCTCATATGTTAGATGCCATATCCTTCACTCCTTCATATTCATAGCCTTCTAACTTCTCTCATGGCATTTCGAATCATTATCTGTTTCTACTTGTTCCTTCTTTCTCTTTCCCTTTCTTCTTCTCTCAAACCCCCATTATGTAATTATCATGATTCCATTGCGCTTCTTCATTTTAAAAACTCTCTCTCTCTTAATCATTCTGCTTCGATGGAGTGTGATGAGTTTAAGAACACATCTTATCCAAAGACAGCTTCGTGGGGAAATAATTCAAACTGTTGCTTGTGGGATGGGATCATGTGTGACTCCATGTCTGGTCATGTGATTGGTCTTGACCTTAGCTGTAGTTGGCTCAAAGGTCAACTCCATCCAAACAATAGCCTCTTCCAACTTTCTCATCTCCAAACACTCAACTTGGCTCACAACAATTTTAGAGGATCTTTGATATCATCTCATTTCGGTGGTCTTTCCACTCTCATGCATCTAAACTTAAGCTGTTCTGTTTTTGCTGGTGAAATTTCTCCTAAAATTGCAAAATTGTCTAAGTTAGTCTCTCTTGATTTGTCTTTGAATGGATTTTCCTCATATGATGAATGGTTAAGTTTAAGACTTGAACCATCCACTTGGGAGAAGCTTGCTCTAAACATGACTGATATGAGAGAACTTGTTTTAGATGGTGTAAATATGTCTTCCATTGCACCAAGCTCCTTGTCTTTGAAGTCACTTAATATTTTGAGTCTTAAACGTTGCCAATTTGATGGGCCTATTCCTACAAGTTTTGGAAACCTTACTCAATTAACTAATTTGAACATTGTAGAAAACAATTTTAGTGGTGAGCTTTCATTTCTTTCAAATCTTCAAAGTCTCACTTCATTGGACCTTAGTGCCAATTATTTTAATGGTCTCTTACCAAATTCCATAGGCCATTTGAAGTCTCTTAATTTTTTGGGTCTTCAAGAGAACCAATTTCATGGGCCTATTCCTATAAGTTTTGGGAACCTCACTCAATTAACTGATTTGAACCTTGAAGGAAACAATTTTAGTGGTGAGCTTTTATTTCTTTCAAATCTTCAAAGTCTCATTTCATTGGACCTCAGTGACAATTATTTTAATGGTCACTTACCAAATTCCATAGGCCATTTGAAGTCTCTTGATTTTTTGGGTCTTCGGGGTAACCATTTGATGGGCCTATTCCTAGAAGTTTTGGGAACCTCACTCAATTAACCGATTTGAACCTTGGAGAAAACAATTTTAGTGGTGAGCTTTCATTTCTTTCAAATCTTCAAAGTCTCACTTCATTAGACCTCAATTACAATCATTTTGGTGGTCTCTTACCAAATTCCATAGGCCATTTGAAGTCTCTTGATTTTTTGAGTCTTCGGCATAACCAATTTCATGGGCCTATCCCCGTAAGTTTTGAGAACCTCACTCGATTAACTTATTTGGACCTTTCATTTAACATTTTTAGTGGTGAGCTCTCATTTCTTTCAAATATGTCAAGTCTTACTTCATTGCACCTCAGTGACAATTATTTTAGTGGTTTGTTGCCAGATGTGTTTGGAAATCTTTCAAATTTGAAATTTTTTGATTTCTCTGACAACAAGCTACCAGGTAATTTTCCCGAGTCAATTTTTACTCTCATAAATCTCTTTGATTTGAGACTATCATCAAATAACTTGAGTGGCTCTGTTAAGTTTTACCAATTTTTCAAGCTTCAAAATCTAGAATATCTTCATCTTTCAAGCAACAAGTTTCTCTCACTTACCTTTGATAATAATCTTAACTACACCATTCCTAATCTTGAGGTCTTATATTTAGATTCTTGTCATATCACTATCCTTCCGAAATTCATTGGCCTTCCAAATTTGTGGCAATTGCATCTTGATGGTAATAAGTTGCAAGGTCTTCCTAAGTCAATTTTTGGTTTCCTAAATCTTTCCCATCTAAGTCTGTCATCAAATAATTTGAGAGGCCCTATTAGTCTTCATCAATTCTCAAAGCTTCAAAATCTACAATATCTTAATCTTTCAAACAACAAGTTTCTCTCACTTAGCTCTAATAATGATGTTCACCATACCATTCCCAATCTTACACAGTTAGATCTGTCCTCTTGCAACATCAATGACTTTCCTAAACAATTAGGAAGCCTTCAAAATTTGAAGGGGTTATATCTTTCCAATAACAAAATTCGTGGAGATATTCCCCAATGGTTCAATAACGTAGGGAATGGTTCTTTGGATGCTTTGGATCTCTCTCATAATAACTTGACATCAGCTAAACATCTTTCAATGAGAAACTTGAGGTTTCTTGATCTCAGCTTCAACTTGTTGCTAGGAAATCTCCCAATTCCATCCTTTGATGTTGAATTCTTTTCAGTGTCCAACAACAAATTCAGTGGACACATTTCTTCCTCATTTTGCAATGCAAGCTCACTTGAGATACTCATCTTATCCCACAACAACTTGTCGGGCCACATCCCAAAGTGCCTTTTTGCTCTTCCCAATCTTGAGAGTTTAGATCTGCAGATGAATAATTTTGTCGGATCTATACCGGACAATTTTTCTAGAAGCAATTATTTGGAATCTTTGCATTTGAACAACAATCAATTTGAGGGACGGTTGCCTTTGTCTTTGACCCATTGTAAGCAATTACAAATTTTAGATGTGGGAGCAAACAAGATCAACGACAAATTTCCTGATTGGCTTGAAGGCTTACCAGAGCTACAGGTACTCATTTTAAGAGATAATAAGTTCTATGGTGCCATTCATAGTTCCCACACCAAACATCCTTTTCCCATGTTAAGAATTTTCGATGTTTCCAACAACCGTTTTATAGGATCTTTGCCAATAACATACATCAAGGAATTTAAAGGAATGATGAATGTTGACTTTGTTTCAACCACACTAGATTACTTGGAAATCCGTAATGCATCTTATCAGTATCAAGAATCAGTGATGGTCACATTGAAAGGTGTTGATTTGGAGTTGGTAAAGATCATAACTACATTCACATCCATTGATTTGTCAAAAAACATGATTGATGGAGAGATTCCACATGTTATTGGTGAGCTGCATTCACTTAAGGGGCTTAATCTCTCCCACAACAAAATCACTGGTCCGATTCCTCAATCCATTGCAAACTTGACAAACCTAGAATCATTGGATTTATCATCAAACTTGCTTAAAGGTGAGATTCCTCTTGCACTAGCAGATCTCAACTTTCTTGAAGTTTTGAATCTTTCACAAAATCAGCTTGTCGGAGAAATACCAACAGGTAAGCAGTTTGATACATTTTCACAAGATTCTTTTGAGGGAAATTTAGGACTGTGTGGATTTCAATTGTCAAAAGCATGTAATCATGATGAAGGGAAATTACCACAACCAACTTCGTCAAGTAATGACAAATTTGGATTTGGTTGGAAACCAGTGGCTTTGGGATATGGATGTGGGATGGTGTTTGGAATATTCATGAGTCAAGTTATTTTCTTAACCGGAAAACCTAAAGAGCTTGTCAGAATTTTTCAAGCCAGGCCTAAGAAACAAGCAAAAAGGACAAGGAAAAGAGCCCATCAGGATCAAAGAGTGAATTAGGCACAAAATGTGGCTTCGTGTGATATATTATGTCATCTTTTTTTCCATGTTTCCACTATGGTTATTATTTCATGTTTCTTAAATATCTTGTCAGTGATTGGAATGTAATGTACTGTATATTTTAATGATTGTCTTTCCCCTTTTCTTTTTTTAATGAATTTCAAGTGATTTGCCTTCATTTGTATGCTATGTACTATTTGATCATCATGTGAATAAAATTTTCCACGTATTAGCAACTTTTTTTCTTTCTGGTACAGACATGTCAACTTATGTTATTTGAATTACTTATCAACCATTCAACCTTCCTCATTTAATTAATGATTTAAAGAAACTTTTAGTTTGTTCGTTGTTCTATTAAAGGATTTTAAGTTTTTATAAATATGTGAAAATCACTTTCTACTTCGAGACTTTATGATCGATATATGATTGTTCAGAATAATGCTGCAAGCAGGAATTTAAAATAAGCAAAATGATTTTATTTCAAATTTTAAACTCTCAACAATTTTTTTCTTGTTTTTGCCAAACTCTTAAAAGTGAAAATATGACCATGCAAAACACGAGCCTCAATTGCTTTATTACTTAACGTTAACATTCAACTAGGCCTGTCCTCTCATGAAAACCTTGGGCCTAAAAGCATTTTAGCCCACAACAACATCGTGACCCCTTATTTCGTAAGTTCATAAATTCTTCTGTTCGTTTTTTTACCTATTATTTGCATTGAGAGAAAATTAGAGAGAAAAGAAAATTAGATTAAAAAAATATGGAGAGAAATCAATTTTTTTTCTTACTTGGATATGAGACAAAATATGAGAGGAAGGAACCCCTTGCTTGGATTAAAATAAAATTAGGGAGGAAAGAAAACTAGAAGAGAAAATATAAGGAGAACTGAGTTTTCTAAATATCAATATAATGAATTATTTCAAAATCGATTCTAATTCAATTAATCCTCATCCTAACGAAATTCATTTAATTGATACATGTATCCACCAATTCATCACAGGCACAATATTTTAGGATTAGATAGGAGAGAAAATATGGGAGGAAGAAAAAGTGAGAAAAATAAGATGGACTCCATATCTCATTTTCTCTCCAAATATGGAGAGACTCAGGAAGAAAAACAAGATTTTCTTGATTGTCCCTCCTCTCTCTTCCTCTCACATTTATGTTCTTTTTATTATATTTAAAAAATTATTCATTTTTTAATATTTTAATCTTACAAGAATATTTTTTATTAAATAATTTGCTTTTAAAATATAATACTTTGAAAATATATATAAACAAAATAATTTGATTTGAAATTATTTGATGACGCTAATTAAAAAGAGGGTCTTAAACGAAACCGTTCAACGAGCCGTCATACAAGGGCATCCCAAATTATGTGGTGAATGTATCTTTTAAAAATTCGTATGTACTTAGAATATAAGGTGTTAAATTGGAAAAACCCTCAAGTAAAAAAAAAATGGAAGACCAAAAAAAATACAAGGTGTTGATTCAGCACAACTTACTTGGACAACTAGGGGTTCCGAAAAAGTTGGGGCATGAGTCTTTCTTTCATTGTTTTTTTTTTTTGGGGATACATGAGTCTTTCTTTATAAGGCTTGTTTTATTTTTAATTTTTGTAAAGTTTGTGTGAGAGGATGCAAAGAATTGTAGAAAAAATAACAGCAAGGGACGTTTTTCAATATTCTTGCCATAGTTGTAAATGTAAGAGTTAACTCTTAAATTGATATCTCAATATCTTTTGTCTCTAAAATTTATAAAAAAATTTTAAGTTATTGATTGCATATTAAAGAGAATTTTTATTCCTGAGATAATGACCAAAAGGATATTTTGAAAAATTAAAACATATTTATTGTAAATAATTAATTTAATAAATTTGTTTGATATATATATAAATTAGTGATTTAGCTTTACCATTTAGGATCAAAAGAAATAGTTCTTAATATAAGAGCTTATTTAATTTTTATTTTGATCATAAATATAAGACTCCAATTTATTTTATATCTTATATTTATCCATTTTTTAAGGGTAGTTCTTATAATAATGGTTGTTCTAGCTAATACACTTGATTAACGAGAATATTTTAGGAAAGAAAATATCTATTTATTACAAAGAACTAACTTAATTATTTTTCTTAATCTATTCAAATTAATCAATTAGCTCTTATATTAAGAATTGAAGCTAGTATTATTCTCTTAAGCGGTTATAAACCTTTGAATGTTTTATGATGGGAATATTAGCCAAATGCAAAATAAGATTCCCTTGCTGTTTTTCAATATTAGCCAAATACAAAATTAGCGACGGACTTGTAACAGAATTTAGTGACAGAATAAGATTCCGTCACTAATCCTTCTCTAAGTTAGTGACGGAATAAAATTTCGTCACTAATCTTTCACTAATTTAGCGACGGAAATTTTCTGTCACTAAATTCTATTGCTAATTTTAGTGACAGATTTTGTGAGGGATTAAAATTCCGTCACTAAATTCCGTTACTAATACGCTATTTTTTTGTACTGTATAGAGAGAGAGAGAGAGACAACAATAAAGTATCAATTCATGAACATAAGCTAGTTTGATTGATTTTAAAGCAAAAAAGAAAAAAAGACAATTCAAAGTCGGTGCTGCCATGGTGAGTTTGATTGATAAATGAATGGAATCTTAGAAATTAAATTTTGGTTTTGGGTTTGAAAAGTCTTCAAATTTTATTGGCTTCAACAGTTTAAAATGACCGTCAACGCTAATTAAGCAAACTTTGGTTGATTTACATGTACTTTGAAAATTTTTTGTTTCGCTGGTCCAAGGGGAAAAAAAAGAATTTTTTTTTATTTCTCAAGAATTTCTTTAAATTTATGTTTTGAGTAGTACTCAACAAGATAATTTAATATTTCATTAATTTATCATCAACTTATTTGGCTGTGAGTTTTCTTTAATTCATTTTCATTTCAATCACATCATAGAGGCCAGTCTTCTGCCCCATTTAGTCCGCTTTTGGAAAAATAATCTTGTAATAGAAAACATTATAAGGTATTCCCCAAAAAGAAGAAAAAAAGCATTGTAGGGTTACTATTTTCCAGTTCTCAGTATATTCTCATTGTTTTAAATGTTTTTTTTTTAATAAAAAGGGGCATGAACATTAAATTTTATCAAATAAATCTATTTTTTTTATTTTTCTCTTTCATTTATAGTATCAAATAAACTTCCACGTTCTATACTTTGTTGCATATATATTATTTATGGGTTAATGTGCAAATTCAGATCATAACAATATTGTTCTCATACTGTTAAAAATATTAACGATCAATACTATCATTTTAATGAAGAGTTGAAAAAGTGTTATATGCCCCTCTTCACCAAACCTTATTCTTATTGGTCTTCTCATGAGCGTACCATACGTTTTTGTCGGTCCAAAATTTTTCTGTAACAGCTGGACAAAAAATTGACAGCACTATCATAATTTTAACTTCAACTCAAACAAACAATCGTGTCAACTCAAATGAATAAAGAGGATAATTTAATATTTTTCATTTGTTAACAATTTGCTTAGCTTTCTTTGATTCATTTTCGTTTCGATCACGTTACAAAAGACAAGTCTTCTAGCCTTCTACCCTGTTTGGTACGCTTATGAAAAAATAATCCGTCATTGAAAACTTTTTGGAAAAACTACGTTAAAATCTCACTTGAAAGAATTAAATATAAAAAAATATCTTAAAATTATTAAATTAATATGAAATTTCAAGAAAACTTATTGCAAGAAATTATACTTGTTTAACTCTTGTTTTTTTTTTCTTTTTAAGTATACATTAACAACTAAAAAAGCAGTCATTAACAATTTAAAATGTAACGATTAACAACTATCGCAGTAGATATTAACAACACATTTTCTCAGCACATCACAAAAATTTAATGCATGGTTGTTAATAAATACTGCAATAGTTATTAATAATTACACTTTAAATTGCTGACGACTTATACTTAAAAAAATAAAATGAGGACAATTTAATAATTGAACAAGTAAAATCTCATGCAATGAGATATTTTGAGAGTTCAAATTAATTTAATGATTTCAAGAAATTTGTTTGTATTTAATTTTCTTGAGTGACAACCTTGATCCAATGTTCAAAAATTTTTTGGGTATATATTTATGATTGATACTCATATAATCATTATTGCCTATTTTTCATTGTTTGAAATGCCTTTTTTCTAAATAGGGGCATAAACATTAAATTTTATCAAGTAAAATTATTGTTTTTAATTTTCCCTTTTCATCTCTAATATCAAGCACATGTTACACCATTTCTCTCTCTGTGTTTATTATCATGATCTGTTATTTTGCATTGTGTATTATAACGTGATTGACGGTTTGAGTAATTAGAACCACTCAAAACCAAAATTTCGGGAAAAAAAGAATTAACGGTACCTGGACAATGAAAAATCACTTCCAGACCTTCTAGCTCGCCATTCAAATAATAGCCAAAAGAATTTGTTGACGGTATGGTAATCTCTTTATATCTCTGCGATACTGCTAATATTCAAATAATGATCAAATTGAGTTACTTTTTCTAAAGAGTATGTTATAAAAGATCTCTCATATTTCACTTTAAGTTCTTAATTGAAATTTTTGTTTATTTGGCATAAAATAAAATTATCAAATGGATCTGCCTCACAAAATTCCATATTTCTTGACCATACTAGTGATTATATTAGATTATATATGAACACTAATTTTCACAAATTTTCAGAAAAAGTTGAATCAACATTCCATCAGGCATAAATGTGGCCATGTACGTGTTCTTTACGCCTTTTATTGTTCTTTTGATTCATTTTCCTTTCATCAATCAATCACAAAGTCAAGTCTTCTCCCCCGTTTGTTATGCTAATGGAAAAACAATCCTATAATTGAAAACTTTTGTAGGGCATTGATTATACTGATATAACCATCATTCCTACATTCTTATTGTTTCAAATGTTTTATAATAAAAATGAAGGCATAAAAATTCATTTTTATAAAATAAAATGATTTTTCCCCTTTCATCTCTAATTTAGTCGAGTACTCTTATGAACGGTTTCATGCATAGCTTATATATTTGTATGATTTTATTGTATATAATACTCCTTTTTTCCTATTTATAAGGTATAGAGAAAATTCTTATTTGATCTCATTTATAAGATGTATTATTAAATTTTTCATATGAATACATAATTCTTTTTGCAAACAATTTTATTTTATTTGCCATTTATTAT